GGGAAGTCCCAAGGCGCAACTGCCTTCAATGGGACATAACTTCCTCATTTAACAATATCAATGTTAATATTTGGTGCAGTAGCCTTTGTTTGCAATTACTGTCACTGAAAAACAAAGACTTTGACCTCCCTCCAAATATTTTCTATTGGATTTAGGTCTACAGACTGGCTAGGCCCCAACAGAACCTTGATATGTTTCTTCCAGAGCCACTCCTTGGTTATCCTGGCTGTGTGCTTCAGGTCATTGTCATGTTGGAAGACCCAACCTCGACCCATCTTTAATGCTCTAACTGAGGGAAGGAGGTTCTCCCTTAAAAATGCACAATACATGGTCTTCCTCTCCTTAATACAGTGCAGTCGCTCTGTCCCATGTGCAGAAAAACACCCCAAAGCATGATGCTACCACCCCTATGCTTCACAGTAGGGATGGCGTTCTTAGGATAGTACTCATTATTCTTCTTCCTCCAAACACGGTTTGTGGAATTATGACCGAAAAGTTCTATTTTGGTCTCATCTGACTACGTGACTTTCTTTAATGACTCCTCTGGATCATCCAAATGGTCATTGGCAAACTTAAGATGAGCCTTGATATGTGGAGGGGAACCTTCCGTGCCATGCATGATTTCAAACCATGACTTCTTAGTGTATTACCAACAGTAGATTTGGAAACGGTGGTCTCAGCTCTTTTTAGGTCATTGAGCAGCTCCTGTGTAGTTCTTGGCTGATTTCTCACCTTTCTTAGGATCATTGAGAACCCATGAGGTGAGATCTTGCATGGAGCCCCAGTTCGAGGGAGATAGACATTCATGTTTAGCTTCTTCAATTTTCTAAAGATTTCTCCAACAGTGGACCTTTTTTCACCAAGCTGCTAAGCAGTTTCCCCGTAGCCCTTTCCAGCCTTGTCTCTAGTGTCTTTGGACGGCTCTTTGGCCTTGGCCATGTTAGTTGGATTCTTACTGATTGTATGGGTTGGACAGGTGTCTTTATGCAGCTAACGACCTCCAACAGGTGCATCTAATTTAGAATAATGAATGGAGTGCATGTGGAGATTTTAAAGGCAGACTAACACGTCTTTGAGGGTCAGAATTGTAGCTGATAGACAGATATACTTATTTGCAGCTGTATCATAGAAATAAATAGTTTTTCAAAATCATATATTGTGATTTCTGGATTTTTCTTTTTAAGATTTTGGGTCCCACGGTGGATATGCCCCTACCATGACAATTTCAGACGCCTCCATGAATTCTAAGTGGGAGAACTTGCAACATTAGCAGGGTGTTTAGTACTTATTTCCCTCACTGTATAGCAAACATGTTGGAGAAATGAGACTTAATCATCTGGGCATTAGGAAGTAAAACAATGGCAATATTTAGCAACATGGTATTTGCTTATAGTATTTTTTATATACTTTAAAACCTTCATGGCTTTTTTTAAATAATAAAATGCCATTTTGAAATTTCCAGATTGCATCTTGTTACTGGCATTAATGTAGCAACTTTTGATTTACTGGTGTAGATTTATTGGTGTAGATTGAAGATTTTGCATAAATTCATACCCTATTTAGGACATACGACCTTTTCAATCTTTTGAAACAGCAAACAAATATTTTTTACTTTTTTTTCCGTTTGAAAAACTTTTTTTCCTTGCAACCGAGGCAATCCACCCCTTGGCCATACTTGGGGTGGGTGATTCAGTAGGTTGGCTACCTGCTCGTGTGTCTGTGGGGTTGCGTGTGCGGTTCATGGGGGGTACCGTGAAGGGGCTGTGTGACAGTCCAGGTTTAGGTGCTATGGCCTCTGGACCTCCATTCACTGGCAATGACCGCTTTAGGGTTAGATAAGCTGGACAGCAAGTTCGGCATTTAATTTAGCGCCATTGCTAAACTACCGAGAGTTCCTATTAGTTGCTATTTTCTTTTATTAAACATACTTCTTCTCATGATAAATCTTAACTTCTACCAAGTTAGGTACCAACATTAAAATCATTTTATGTCTAATGAATGGGAACTTATGTGTGTACCCCTTTAAGATTTATCTTCCTGATTCTCTCCTGAGAAGAGATCCCTCAAAGCAAACTTTTTAAATAACACTTCATAATGTTTTTATATTAAATAACTATAAGACATGACTAACAGATTTGAAAAGAAATTGGGAGTGATGGCTTAGTGGTTAGAGCAGTGAGCTTGTGCTCTGAGAAGGATGCAAGTACCCGGTTCGATCCCCACAGCCTTCACTCTGGTCCCCTGAGCGAAAACCTTAACCCGACACTGCTCCCTGGGAAGGCTTTGTGTTATGCAGAATGTCTCCAGTAAATCAAATCAACATATTTGTCTGGCCACATTCACTTTTATATGTGGAAAAATGCATTTGGCACAATTTGGCCACTTTTGGCACAACAAAATCCCTTTTCTGCCTTGCACACTGCTCACTAAAACCTTTGAAGAACAAACATGCTTCAACTTATTCAGTCCAAATTTGTTACAGTCAAGATATGGGTCTACAAAGTCTGAGGGTTCATACAGATTTTCAAATAGGGTTTCATGGTGTTTTGCAGTATTCATTTTTTAAAAATTGTTGGCAAGGCTAAATTTTTTCAATTTTTTCTTTGTTTAATCACCTATACATCAGACATGGTGACATTTAAAACAGTGGTTCCACCTGAGAAATATCCCTCAATGCCTTTCTGTCATACAAATACAAGAAAAATTATATTTCCAATTTATAGTTTGGGACCTGTACTTGCTTTAATTCATATTATTAATTTCAGGCGGAATTTGATCCCAAGACCCCCAGGGGTTAAATGCAGAGAGTTCATTTTGTTGCTCTGTACTTGTGAAAGTGTAATAAAATGAAAGTGAAAGTAACAATAAAAAGCTGGAAAAGGGTTAAGATGCAGAGTGAATTTCCCCATTGTTGGACAATAAAGAGATTTACATTTACTACAGAAATGGCTCAGGTTACAGATGGCAGCGCTTACCACTGGGGTCGCTTCTTTAGAAAGTCGGCCCAGTTAAAGAATCATTTCTACACTGCCACATCATTACTGTACATCATTATATGTTTGTACAGGAAGAGACTTCACACTGAAAAAACTATCTATAAATAAGTAAAAGTGTCTTAAATTAAGCATGTTTACCCTTAATTTGAGCAGATAAATATGATTATCTGCCGATAGAATGAGTATTTTTATTCTTAGAATAAGATAATTAGATAATATTCACTTGAAATAAGACAACGCAATTGTTTTTTTTCTTACTTTAAATGTAAATTGTCTTGTTCAATTGGCAAAAGGTCTCACTTACCTCTTCAATTCAAGAAAAAATGAACTTATTTTATGAAAAAATAACTTATTTAGATTGAATTTTTTTGCAGTGCAGAGCTTCAGCTGTATCAAAATATTACAAAGCTCTTAGACCAAGGAAACTGAAAATGCACAATTAGAGAGTTAGCTCATAAGAATTAGTCACCCTGTCTTTGCTCCCATTTTATTTCCAAATCATGCCCTCATTAAATAAACTTCTTGGGAAAAGATTTGCTTTAACATGTAACAGGCTGGTATTACAGTATTAGGGTTTAACAGGCAAATACAAGAATCATACAAAATAATCCTAACTCCCTTAAAGATTCATTGTGTGCTAATTACAGCTCAAACAGCTAGCATTATAGCTACTAGAAAAACAGTTTAAATGGGTGAGATAAAAACAACTAACAAAATGTAACCATTTTTTTAAGATTTCTGCACAAATTGATATGCTTACAGCAGTTGTCCAATTTTCCAGAGGACCTAAAGCGTCCTGTAGCCTGCACACTTAAACTGGCCCCTGGATGGTGCTGACATTGAGACATATTGATCATGGTGACAAACTAGTCAGGGCCCCGGGCTGATTAGGGGGATTTAATGGCTCAGTGAATGAAAGAAATTGGGAGAAACAAACAGCTCTCTGAGAGCATCGCCTCAGGTGGGACGCTAAGCACTGGATCCTGACTGGTCCGTTGGGTTATGGATGCATTGGTTTCAGACCGGCCTGGATGCTGCAGTGGGACAAACAAAAGTCTCTGGTAGCCGGCAGACTGTTTGACTAGTCATTGATTGTTTAAATAATGTTACTTCCCCCACAATTTAATCCACATTGCACCATATACGAGAGGATCACAACACAGTTCAATTTACCTTATTTTTCCATGTCTCTTTCACACATCTTATTAAATGTGCTTTTTCTACTGTTAGTTTTACTTTATATATTTTATAGAGCCTTAAAAAACAGGATATTTGTTTCTGAAAAATACCTAAAAAACCCACTAAGTTATATCAGCCTAAACAGTCAGTAGTGAAGTCATCCTCTTATTTCAGTGACGTTAACCAACCTCTGGATGGAGCCAGAGCATCATCCTACTGTAAGTTTGAGAGCAACAGGAAATGTAGGACTTTACACATTATTTCTTCAAGCAGAAATTTAAATTTACATTTAGATTTACAGAAATATCAAACCACTCAGAAAATATTTAATCAAAAGCTTTTTATTTATTTATTTGGCAAATTATCTTTGGATTTTAATCGACACAGTCAAAGTAACTGCCTATTACAGTACAATAAATGGTAAACCATACAAGACCTTCCTGTGTACTCTACCATTAACTGGTGCAGTACAACCAGTAATGCCCAACTTGTTAAAGTACAATGATAGACACCAGTTTTACATCCCAACTCCTTGTCTCCTGATAACATTGCACATCAGTAGAAACGCTCCATTTTGTTTTTTTTTATTATTGAGCAGAACATCACAGTTTACATGTCTGCACAGCCGTGCAGTCCTCTGGCCACTGGTAGGAGTCAACAGTGAAGTCATCATATTCAGTGCTATAGGATATAGAGCGGAGATGTGCTTCCTTGTCGGAAGGCTCTGGACGAAGCGTGGCCATTTTGTGGTTGTAGGCATAATCCATGATCTGTAAAGCAAGAATGTTTGGAAATTACAACACTCCCAATTTCCTGACCCAACGATTCCATTATTTTACATACTAAAGAATACACCACGATTCGATAATTTTTTTTTTACCTTACAGGCTGGACAATGTTTAAAATGAATCAATGAAAGCTGTAATATCGTTATGCATTTTATATGAGTTGTACTCCACCTAGGCCTATAAAATCCTAATTCACTGAAAAATAATAATGCCTGTGTGTTTACGTGAGTGTGTGTGTGCAAGCGGAAAGAGGGTAGTGGAAAGGAAGCGAGGTAGGAGGGCAAAATAGGTTTAGCGCCTCCGCAGCACGGGAGTCAGAATTACGTCCAGGAGGACGTGTAGATGCGTCGGATCTTTGGCTGTTGCATCGATGCAACGACACAAAACAGTTATTATTATTTACACCCCTAGTCAGCAGGGTGATTATTGGATTTTATTTTGCGCTGAGGATCTCACCTTAGCTGCCAGTTTAAGAGAAACCTCCCTGATGGAGCTGAGAGGAGGATACAGTCTACCCTCGGCGAGGTCCTTCTCAGTCACCAGGTTGGCAAGAGCCTGTGAAAAAAAAACACTTTTGTCAGTATAGAAGAGAAAATCAGAAAACTTTTGTCTATTATCATGTAATGAGGGATTTAGAGTAACAATTGTAAGTGACACCACCTGTCTAAGCAGGTTCAGTTGCTCACATAATATAAATAACTATTGATTTCAAACAGGAGATGAAAGATGACACATTTATTGGAAAGAAAAAAATCACCTCTGCAGCTATTAAGAAGATATCCTCGGTAATATGTCGCAAGGCACAAGCGGTGACCCCAAGGCCCACACCGGGGAAGATGTAAGCGTTGTTACCCTGACCGGGATAGAAGGTCCTCCCATCGGGCAGGGTGACGGCGTCAAACGGGCTACCGCTGGCAAAGATGCCTCTCCCCTGTAGAAGATAAATGGAAGAACACAAATGCATTCAGAAATCGGTTTTGGGAAGTAGACTTCTTAGGAGTGATGGCAAGCCCTCATTAACGTAGATAACCCATCATGGCAACAGCAGGATGCAATTAATAACGTGGTTCCTAATATAAAAATGAGCAGGTAGCTGAAATAGATTTATTTTTGTCTCTAATGCTTTGTGATCTATTGTTATGAGGGCTGCAACTAACCAATATTTTTCAAATCGATCAATCTGTAAATTATTTTTTGATAAATTGATTAATAACCAGGTAGCCAAAGGTTCCGTAAAAGAAGATTTTTTTTTTAATTAAATTAAACCAGGTAAAACTAAAACTTTTCCTCTTGAGTTCTGAATACAGCATATTGACAGACGAAAACTTTTTTAAATCTTAAATGTTTTTTTTTTTTTACAATTTTGATACACTTGATCTAATCGGTTGTTCTGTCAGCTAATGGCATATTTTAAAGTCTCCAGTTAACGAGGAATCGATTACTAAATTAGTTGATGATTATTACATTATTCGATTAATCACGATTAATCCAATTAATTGTTTCAGCCCTAATTGGCACATTGTAATGCTAATTTTAACAGTTTAAGTGTTTAATCCTTGACGATTTGCATTAAGATATGAAATGATGATATCTGAAATTTAGCCGTGCAGCACCGAGTACCTCTGTGAATGTGTAGCACTGCTCAGCAGTACATTCAGCCTTGCTGGTTGGGTTGCTGAGGGCGAAGATAATTGGTCGTTGATTGAAGGAAGCCATGTCCCTGATGATCTGCTCAGAGAAAGCTCCAGCTACAGCTGCAACACCTGAGATCCAACAACATTTCAGTTCATTCTGATCAATATGTTTTATAGAACATTTGTGAATTGATCTCTGTTGTCAACATTTCCTAAAAGTGCTGTTTACCAATGATTGCTGTGGGTTTCAGATCCCGGACTACATCCTCCAGGTTTCTCATCGGAGGATGCTCATGGGCGAATCTCTCCTTCTCGTGGGTCAGGTGGTCTCGACCCTATGGATGCAGAATGAGGGGATCAAGATTAAAAATATTCCAAAATCTGATTAAACAGTTATAATGGGGGAAATATAGGTGCATAGTTTATCTACACAAACTGTTCTCTTTGTCATCCTGTAAAATCAAAGGTCATAAGGCGAACCACTGATTTAAAACGTACAAGGTAGCCCGAACATTCCTTAAAAACCTTTGAACATAAACTCCCAGGTTGCCAAATACATCTTTATACTTATATGACCCATAATGCCACCATGGTTTTTTATTATGTCTACAAATGACTTAATTATTGAACTTAGTTACTAAGGAAAGTGGTACAGAAGAGGATTAAGGCTTTCGAAAAAAAAAAAAAGTCCTTGTTAACGATTCATGGCCATCGTCAATGACCCCGCAGCCATGTTCAAAGTCACTTAAATCCAACATGTTCCTCCAGACAGCTAATTCTCCTCCTGCATTTCATTTTCCCATCTGCATCAAGTTAACTCAAGTCCAATTTTAAGATTACATTTACCAGCTGAAATTCTCAGATAAATTCTAAGATTAGGGAAATTGTGAGAAAAAAATGTCAGAATTCTCAGGATTAATTCTAGGATTACATTTTTAGATTTAATTTAAGAATCTTGCCACAATTCTGAGATCAAAGTCTTTACTCCAAGACTAAATTTAGAATGCTGAGAATTTAGGCATATTTTAAAAGTCTGCATGGTAAATGAATTGAATAAAAAATTCTGAGAACATTTTAGAATTATAAAATAAAGCCAGAAATCTAACATTAAAGTTAGAATTCTGAGATTATAGTCAGAAAATTCTGAGATTAAAGACGTTTAGTTGCAACATAGACAGTACCTCAGTTAATGTTGTACGAGATAACACTGCACTTTACAATATTTCCCTTTATGTTAAAAATCTGAGGTGGAAAAGATCCTTATATCATTCACATCAATATGTGAAGAATTTCGATCATTAATATGTTGGTTTAAACCAATCTGGCTCTTGCTACAAAAAAGGAACTTAAGGCAAATCCTAAAAAATATGATCCTATCTGCATCTTGATTTGTTTTCTTCATATGACTGTCTGTGAAAGTGTGTGTTTGCAGGCCAAGAAAGACACCTTGACGATGAGTCCCTTTGAATCAACCATCCAGATTTTTTTCAAGCTTTCCTCCTTATTGAGTCCCTCCTTCTCCATTGCCATGGTGATGAGATCAGCAATCCCCATCGCTGCCTGGGAGCAACAGTGAGGGGAGGGAGAGAAAAGCAGAAGAGAAAAACTGAACACTCTGGGTGAACTGTAAAGGTGTTAACAGTTCATCTCATCAGGATCACATCTGTACAGATTGTTCTTCTTTTTATGCTAATGCTAAAAGCTCATATTTCTGCTCAAATGCTTGGACAATAGCTTTTTTTTTTTTAAATATAATCTTAACCAAGATTCTTTTTTAAGAAGAAAAAGTGATGCCCTTACCTCTCCCGCTCCTTGGAAGACGACGGTGTGGTCGCTCATTTTGCTTTTGGTGATACGGAGGGCGGCGATCAGTCCTGCTACGGCTACTGCTGCTGTGCCTGTATACAAAAAGCTGCATCAATCAGATGTTCCTAGAAATCTAAACATAGTTTATAAAACTAATCTTTTCTTGGCTTTCAACAAAAAAGAAGGAATCCAGTCAGAAATAAAAACAACTGCAGTGTTTATGCCGTACCTAAAAAGGCAAGGAATGTTGTCTGCTGAGGGAAAAATCTAGGAATTTCTGTAATTTAGCAGTGAAGACTCAGCTGCTCATTAAGTACATTAATTACATCCGGACAGTTTGCTGTAATCTGTTACTGTTGATGGTGGGGGGACTGATGGGGTTAGAGTTCTACAAAGTTTGCATCTTAGTCTTCATGTAATGATGTCAACTTTTATTACTATCAAACAATATTCCAACAGGTGCAGTGTTACTTATGATAATCCACAAAACTCACTTGCAATGATGCCATGTAGAGGTACTAGTCATAAAATTAGAATATCATAAAAAAGTTGATTTATTTCAGTGTAAATTTTTTTTTTATTATTTTGACTATTTTAACTGTTGCAAAAGCCACATTCAACATCTCAGAAAATGAGAATATTACTTGACACAATACAAAAAAGGGCCAACTAAAGAGTGTGAACATGAAAAATATGAGTGTCAGGAGCTCTTAGTGCTTAGTTGGGGTTCGTTTTTCCTGGATAACTACAGCGATGCAGCGTGGCATGGAAGGCACTGCTCAGACCTGAGTGAAGTTGCCCCCCCCACCTTCTTCAAATCAGACAAAATTAGTGTCAAACGTTTGCGCTGGTTTGTGCGGCAAACATTTTTGTTTGTGCCGCTATCATTTTAAAGATATAAAGAAATGTTTCTAGAGGTCATCAAAGGTCAACCAGCCCCCCACCTTCTTCAAATCAGATGAAATGGGTGTCAATTCACTCGGCTCCGTTGGTATTGGTTTGTGCAACAAAAATGGTCTTTTGTGCTGCTTTGGCTTTGAAGATGTTAATGAAAATGTAAAGGTCAAAAGGTCAACCAGCCCCCCCCACCTTCTTCAAATTAGACAAAATTGGGGTCAAACGTTTGTGCTACATTTGTGCAGCCAAAAATCTTTGTTTGTGCCGCTATCATTTTAAAGATATAAAGAAATGTTTCTAGAGGTCATCAAAGGTCAACCAGCCCCCCCCAGGTACTGCTCAGGCCACTATTACAGCAAGCTGGGCTCCGATAGTGGCCTTCATGTCTTGTGCATTGTCAGGTCACATCTTGCTCTTTCCAATACCTCAGATTTACCTGTAGATTCAGCTCAGGTTAGTGTGCCGAGCCGATTAAGAACCGTGATTCCATGGTTCTTAAACCAGGTACTGGTAGCTTTGGCGGTGTGGGCCAAGTCCTGTTGGAAAATTAAATCTGCATCTCTATAAAGCTGGTCAGCAGGAAGCATGAAGTGGTCCATAACTTCCTGGTAGCAACTGTGTTGACCTTGGACCTCAGAAAGCACAGTGGACCAACATCAGCAGATGAGATGGTGCCTCAAACCATCACTGACTGTGGAAAGGTTACAGTGGACCTCAAGCATTGGTGATTCTGTACACCTCCGCTCTTCCTCCAGACTCTGGAACCTTAGAGTAATGTAACTTTGATCTTTGATCAGAGAACATAACTATGGACCACCCAGCTGCAGTCCATGTCTTCCATTCATCAGTGCCTGGTTGACCTTGAAGCACTGACTTCAGCTGCAGTCCACTCTCCACTTCCCCACATTTTGAATGGGTTAGCTTCCCAATCCTCTCCCTGTTGTGTTATCTCCATTAATTTTATGCTTTTTTTTTCCTACCACATCTTTTCCTTCCCTCCGCCTCTCTATTAATGTGCTTGGACACTGAGCTCTGTGAACAGCCAGCCTCTTTAGGGATGATCGTTTGTGTCCTGACCTCCTTTGCTTGCTGTCAGTGGCCGTCATTAGGACAACTGTCAGCTCAGCAGTGAGGCCCCTTCATGGAAAATGGAAACCATTTAAAGGCCTTTCATGGTGTTTGGAGTTAATCAGCTCAGAGTGAGACATCAGGCATCTTTAATATTGAACTTTTTCACAGCATTTCAGTTTTCTGAGATGCTGAAATTTGGGGTTTTCATTGGTTGGCAGTTATAATCATCTAAATCAGGCATCCCCAAACTCAGTCCTCAAGGCCCCCTGTCCTGCAGGTTTTAGAGGTTTCCTTGCTCCAGCACAGCTGATTTTAATTGAAAGCTGATTAACAGGCTTTTGGTCTACTGCAATCATTATAACCAGCTGTGCTGAAGCAGAGAAACCTCTAAAACCTGCAGGACAGGGGGCCTTGAGGACCGAGTTTGGGGATGCCTGATCTAAATTAAAAGACATGAAATATATATCAGTCCATGTGTAACAAATAAATATAATATACCACATTCACTTTTGGAATGGGATTACTGAACTTGATCAAGTTTTTCATGATATTCTAATTTTATGACCAGCGCCTGCATTTTTTGAAATGTTCCACCAACAACAAAACACTACATGAAGTTGAACCTGTAGTTCATCCAAATCTAATAATGCTATGATTGAGCATTTATTGCCTTACTTTAATCAAACATGTCGCGTCAATGCAGGATTGAACTTCTTCCTCTCAGCTCAAGTTGGCTTATAAAAGGTTTTACTGCAGAAAATCAGACTTTCTGATAGCTGTTTCTAAAGTGTAACCCCTGATTGTGGTGATAAAACAAAACTGTTAGCATCGGGGCTTGGGAGTGAATTTTCAGTTACCTTGGATGTCATCGTTGAACGTGCAGTATTTGTTGCGGTACTTGCTCAGCAGGCGGAAAGCATTAATGTTTGCAAAGTCCTCAAACTGAATCAGGCAGTCCATTCCATACCTGCGAGGAGAGGATATGGGTTAACTTTAATCCACGCTCCTGTCAGCACACAGGGAGAGAGAAACAGATGCTTTTACAAATCATTGAGTCCACAGGATGGTGCTCTCACTCAACACCGGACAGCAACATGGGTGAAGGGAGCAGATGTTGAACTTTACCTTTTCATTGAACATAGATTTATGGAAATGCGATATGGATAAATGCAACACAGACTTGTCATTTGAAAAATCGGCGCCTAGTTCCCCCTTTTATGACAACAACCAGCAGGAGATTCAACAGAGGAGGTCAAACACCCAATAAAAACCCAGAAAACAAACATCTAATTTAAAGGAAAAATGCCAAAGCAGTAAACCAGCAGCCTTCTTTTTTTTTTTTTACAACTTTGCCTTTAGACCACCTATCACACCTAAGTCAAGCAGAGAAGTAAATACCTGTAAGCTTTTCGTAAACAACACAAAATCAAGCCTAACGTTACGAGTCTGTAACTTCGATTTATTGACAACGTGAAGGGGTCCCAGGTTTTGAAGCCTTTCAACAGATGTAACATTAGCTAAAGAATTTGCTGGATGTTTGTGATGCACAAGCAGCTCCTTAATCTGTAAAGATTTTCAAATTAAATAGAGAAAAACAAAAGGATTCTCTTCTATCCTTTGTTTGATTTTTTAATTTTTTTTTATTGTCATTACACTGTCCCAAGTAAAGAGTAATGAAATTAACCATCTGCTTTTAACCCATCCCCTTGGGGAGCAGTGGGCTGCCACTGTACGGCGCCCAGGGAGCAGTGTGGGTTTGACGGTCTTGCTCAGGGACCCAGAGTGTTAGTCCATGGGAGTGGGGCTTCAACTCAGAACTGCAATGCGCAATGCCCTAATCACCATCACTCCCCTACAATTATATCATACAAGCTTCTGCATTTCTGTGATATGAAATATGCAAAATCACCTTTAAAGTAGTAGGGAAGAGGCTGTTCCAACTGTTGCATTTTCAACTTGGTGGTGCCCGACTTTACACGAGTGAATAAAGTGAATGTGATTGGTCGATTATCAAGGGGGCGGGGATTGTTGTGGAAGCATCTTGCTAACCAGTTAGCAACTTAGTGCTAGTAGGTTCCCAATGGGAAATTTCATTGGGACCAAGTAGCACTAAATTGGTGACTTAGAAACGACACTGTCAAGGAACGCTATGAAGAAACATGCAAGAGGAGAGTTTTGTGTCGGAGGTCGTGGATGAGTCTCCTCCGTCATCCATTTTTATTTAGAGGAGGAAAGCGGGGACGAACATGTTGTGGAAGAGGACGCCAGGGCGGCAGAAGCTTGGTTTGGGTTAGAACATGGGTCTTCAACGTTTTCCAGGACAAGGACCCTCAAACTGATGGCGAGATGGAGCGGGGACCCCCTAATTATATATATTGAATGAAATTGTGTTATATCAAACTGGTCCTATAGTCACTCTATTACAGATGGAGTCATGTAAGGAAAGTAATTACTCCCTGGGATTATTAAAGTATTTCTGATTCTGATTCCTGGTTGATGGGACAGGTGTTGTGAATGAAACGGTGC